GACTTTTTGTTGTAGGGGAAGCAAAAAAGTGGGAATGGCTTTCATGCATGAAATTTTTTTCACACTAGGGGGTATTTTCGCCCATGTAGGTTTCGTTGTAGAGGAGTTTCACTGCATAGAGAGCTAGTTTTATTATTCAAATACCAATTGGACATACGGGTGATTTGACTTCCGAGCATGGTCAAGAAAAAAAATTAAAGCACCAACAGGGGCGACGCATGACGAGCTGTCAGCAACTTCTCACCACATTATCCCACCGCGCCCTCTCTCTCTCTCTCTCTCTCTCTACAATTATTTTTCTTCAAGCGATGGCTGCTGTCGGTGCCTATTCCCGGGGCCAAATTTTGGGCCCAGCAACGTCCCTGGACACCACTGTACAGATTTTTTTCATTTGGTGTTGTGCTGTGAAAGTTCTCAAGTAAAATGTATGCCTTGGCTCAAAAGAGGTTGTGAAACACTGTTTTAATTGACAGTTCAACTGCTTATTGAACTGTCTAAGAAAACAAAAAAAAAACAAAAGTTAGACATAAAGTCTGACAAGCTTTTGACAATAGCTGGCGCACAAACGAGCCAGTCGCCAACCAGATGATTTGCTAGTTTGTCATGTGCGTGCGTCACCAGGGTGGAAGCGAGCGGACGTTTGACGCAGGACAGACGCCAACTGTTTGCTTCTGCTCAAGATCATCCCGTCAAACCCTTGAAATGGAGACCGAGGTGATTGAGGCGGGGTAACCACTGAAGGGCGCGTCATTCATTGCCCCTAAGCCTCCAGTGCAGGCTGATCGAAGCCCTCACCTCCATGATTACAAAGGGGCCTCATGACATCAAATGTTGGCATGGCCGGCATTCCTGGATAACAAGCTCTTTTCAAGTGCGTGAGGAGCACTGTCAGAGCTGCTGCCTGTCAGGCGTCATCATCTCTGTTTGCCGACCTCTGTTATATTGCCCAACAAAACCAATTATGCGAAATGGAAAGGGCACAAACAAAGTAAACTGCCACTCTGGGGAGCAAAGACCTCCACCGGGAACAAATTATCCTGAAAGTCGAAGTCATTCCATGACCAAGGTCAGAACTCAATTTGCTCTCATATTAAAAAAAAAGAAATGTTCTCCATTCAAATTGTATTGCATAAAAAAGCAGTAAACCGTTCCAGCAACTCTGCAAAACAAAACCTACAATTTTTTTGTTACATGATTTTGAAAAACGAAAAATAGCATTGTTGTTAAAAAACAAACAAACAATCAAACACAATAAAAAATAAGGAAAATTTCTGCAAAAATATTGAATGGCCAGTCCGTAACCTGCATTTGAGAAGGCCTGCGTGTGTGCGTGCATATATATATATATATATATATAGTAGGCCAAAGGAAGAAAATAAATCCAACTATCATACATGATTAGGCGTAAGCGTTGATAATATTTCTCATAAAGGGGTGTATAACATGAGGTAAGATTTTTCAATTGGCATCAGTGTGTGAGAGGCACTTTCCAGGATATTTATGAGTATTTTAGGTATGGGACATGGGGCATGGCTTAAAAGTAGAGGCACTCTTTTAAGGTGAAAACATTTTAAAAAGGCGAGATTTACACCGTGTATCAAAACACAATGATGATTTTTTGGCATCATCAGGATGAAAAATGGCGTAAAATCAGATATGCTCATGTCATAATAAGGCCTTTTCCAGAGGAAAAACATGAGATCATAAATCTGCTATCTGCTAACATGACCGGCCCGGAACATTGAGTGACTCCACAACAAATAATGTTGCGTACGCATTGATCCGATTGGCAGAGAAAATTTTAGATTATGTAAATCAGTGGTGTCCAAACTACGGCCGGGGGCGATTTTAGGCCAACCATTTTCAGCGGCCCACGGCATATACTAAAAATAACGTTTTATACTGCCTGCTATGCTTTTTAGAAAAGGGTGCGGGTGGCATGATTCGGCAAGTGTTAGAAGTATAGCTGTCGAAAAATTGGGGGGAGTGATGGAGAGTATCATCATTACTGTTAATAAAGCTTTTCTAGATATGCAAATATACAAATAAATTACAGGCTAAAATAGTACTAGATTTTTTTTGTGAAGAATAAACAAATGTTTTCCTCCTTTTTCTGCTTGGGGTCAAGATTCAATTTGTGACCACATAAAATTAGTGATGCTCAAGTATGGGCGGCTAAGGACTGATCACTTTTGCTTTGGTCATGAATGAGGAGATGCGATTTAGCTCCTGCTCAGTGAAGGTGCCAATCTATTCTCCTGAGATGCAAAACTTTAAGACCCCCCCCCCCCACCCTCGTATTTTCCTTATCACCTTCAGCTGAAAGACCCGACAAAGCAGTTTTTCAAAACAACATGATTTGAACAATGTATCATCGCTTGATTGATTTTTTTTGGATGTTTAAGTTAAAAAATATGAATTTAACTCTTTCATTCCACAAGACGTACTTGTACGTCTTTTTAAAATTAGGCCCCGCCTACCAAGGACGTACTTGTACGTCTAAGTCTTTTTTTTTGCGTCATAGAGAGGAGGAGGGTCTGATGCAATCTATGAATGAGAATAAGCCGTTTGCATTGTAAATCATGTAAAAAGCGACCAGTAGGTGGCAGTGGTGCCTCATATGCTTGAAATGCATGCTTTTACAAAAAGCTCTTTTTCTCCGTTTTTTTGCCCAAGAATCGCCATTTTCATGAAACTTAGCCATTTTGTAGTGCCGATTGTTGAAGAATGGAAAAAGATAGAAACCATTTTTTTTCTGCTGAAAGAAGAGAGTCCATACTTTATTTTGGTAGGCTCTATGTTTATATAGCATTAGAACCAAATATTCTGTGGGCCTTGCAAGATCAGTCAAAATCCAGTAAAACGCTGGGATTGAGGTGGTTGCTCCAGTGAAAATGGCTGGGATTGAATGAGTTAAGATGGCCCCTTCTATTTTTCTGTATGCGACCTTTGAGGGGGGAAAAAAAAAGTTTGGACACCTCTGATGTAAATACTTTAGAGTTGTACTATAGAGCATAAGGAATAGATGTCATATTTTATAGGAGGTTAGCTGCATTCAAACTAATAAAGAGGAAGGATAGTTTCAGGCCAAATAAACACGACCTTACGTTTTACCGTTTATACTGTTGCTTACTTCCATGTTGACACCTGTGCGGCTATTCACGTGCATTTTAGAACCTGCGTGCTGCGCGTGCGGCTTGTTTCAGGTGTTCGGTAAATGAAACCGCAGTGATATCAGATACGGGTGAACCTAAAAATACATCCCAAAAAATCTGATATAGTCTCGTGAGATGCTAATGCAGCAATCTCGATCTCCCCTTAGTGCTCCTTTCTCATCCGACGGACTCAAATGCACCGCACCGGGCACAGAAGGTCCAAATCAAAGTCCTTTGTTCACAAAAAAGTTGGGTAATACCAGCTCTGCCAGAGGGAGGGTCCAATCCAGCCGCAGGCCAATCAAGTGGACACTCAGACGTGCTGTGTAAATCCCGCTGAACAAGCCTGAGTGTTGTCTGCAATTTTAGGTATGAGTGGTACATGTCCACCATTGAGCGGGGAGGTGAAGACACATCAAAGAGCAAAAAGGGGGAGTCCAGCCCCTGTCATCTATGGCAAAGTGAACAGGAAGCTCTCTCAAAAGTCTCAGTCCATTTCCAGAAGGCTGCTACTGAGCTCCAGGCCACAGCGTGATGGCTCGACAGAAGAGGGGCTTGAAGAGGCCGGCAAGAGGCCGCTCTTCTTCCTCGAGTGACAACGTGAGGGGAGTCTGCGTGGCGACAGTGCTCATCATCTGGCGGCGGACTGCGAATGTGCGGCCATGATGATGTGAGATGCTCCGCTCTCGACACTTTGCTGCTGACCCAAACCGGCCAGCACAGACATGGCCATGGCTTCGGCCGCCGCCCTCGAGCTCAGGCCGTTGTGGCTGGCCGAGGGGCTGGGCGCCAACGAGCTGTGCTGGATCACTGGCGCGGGGGAACCCGTCGGCTCCGAGGTATCTTTCATGTTCTCGTCCACAGCTACTGTGAATAAAAGGTGCAACATTGAAATTGGCACACGGCACACTACCGCCTCCTATGATCAAGTCAATACGGCATCTTATTTATGCCGACTTGGAACAGCTTGTATCGAGCAGGTATGTCTTGTGTCTCTTTGGGGACACACCGTATTTCCCCTTAGAGTGGCATTCGGAACTTATGCATAATTTTCTGCACGATAAAGTGCTTCGGATTATAAGGTGCTCCTTCAATAAATGGCCTGCTGCTATTTTAATTCTGTTTTCATATGTAGGGCGTTGTACATTATAAGGCGCAGCGAATAGAAGCTACAATAGTGGCTGCGGTTAAGCTATGCATCCACTAGATGGTACTACGCTAGAGGAAATACAATACAATACAACACAATAAAGCTTTATATAGAGCAGTGGTTCTTAACCAGGGTTCGGGGGGACGGTGAATCCGTCTCAGGGGTTCGACAGAGCCTCTGCTATGGAGACTAAGACGCACCGACTCAACATGTCCATTAGTTATGACATGCTCGCTTGGCCATCACTGGCTGGTTCATTTTGTGCACAATTAAAAAAAAAAGTATACTTTATACTTGTACTAATTGTATTTACTTTTTTCTGTTTTTAATAAATGCAGTTTTATATGTCTTGAATTTGTAAAAAAAAATCATATTTTTATTACTCAGTAATGAAGGGTTCGGTGAATGTGCATATGAACTGGTTTGGTATCAGTGGTACCACTGATATAGAACTGCTGTAACAATGAGAACTGATCACAACCACGGACAAGAAACATAAATGTCGGCAGCGCTGTCTTCTAAAAACTGAATCTGCTTGCCACATCTGCACTAAAAATGATATGAATTATAGTTTCTTGCCAAAAGTTCTCACAGCAATGGGTCTTTTTTGTTTGTATATTTTTTTTTGTTCAGCTCACCCAGGTAGGTGGATTTCTTCTGCAGGGTAGTGACAGGACAGTCCTTGTGTGCTAGCAGCAGCTGCTTCAAATGTGCCACTTCGTTTCGCAACAGAGACACCTCGTTCTGGTCAAGTCCAACAAACAATTCAGCAAACCGTTAAGAAAAAAAATGGACTTTGCTTGGAGCAATATGCTTCACATTCATCACAGCTCATATCACTGAGCAACATTTTCTATAGTGGCTTTTCTGGTTTAGAGTCTGGTCTGATTGTAATCATAATCATTCAAACTGCGGACATGAAAAGCAAAATGACCGGCAACCAGCAATTAAAATCTAAAAATCCCGTAAAATCTATTGGAAGTCATTAATTATAATTCCGAATCCTCTCATTCATTCAGTGAGTCTTTGCCGCACACCTGGCAATTGTAGCGCGTGTTGCCTGACGAGCAACGAGAGAACTGTGACCCCATATCGGGTTTTTCAGCCCCCACCGCATTAGGCTGTACTCGGGACGGATGAACCAAATGAATTGCAAACGTCAAGGCATCCAGTGAAACAAATGCTTTTCAGACATCATTTTGTTATCTGACAACCTCTGGGAACAGACGTACCGACAGTGAGATGTTCATGCTGCTGAGCTCCTCTGCCTTTTTTTCCAAAGAGTTGACCCACAGTTTACGTTTCTGCCTGCAGCGCGATGCCGCCGCCCGATTCCTCTCCAGGAAGCGCTGCCTTCGCTCATCTGGGTCGTCGTCTGCCGTCCGTCGCCGACGCCCACCTGTGGGCTGTGCTGGTGATACCTGCAGATGGGTGGGTAGGTGGGGGTCAGGCAGACACAGGGTGCGGCGGCGAGAAGAGTGAAAAGCTTGAGTCACCTCGGTTGTTTGGGTACATCACAGTCATTGGAAAAAAAAAAAGAAAAAGACAGCCCTAAGCCTCATTCCAACATAGGGACGGCAGAGACGAACATCCAGTGGAAGTTAGTGTAAAATAAGCTTTCACAGTCTCTTTCTTAGGCATGTTTCAGCGTCAAGAGAGTTGGACCTGATGGAAAGTCGTCAAAGGGAGAGCAGAAAACTTTTTTTCAGCACTATAACCTGCTGTATTTTGGTAGCTTTCCACCTCCTGTTCTTTGTTCACCTCCCGTCTGTTGGTTTGAAGTAAAGCAAGGAGGGTGAAGTATCTTACTCAAGGACACAACAACACATGATTCAGACTGAACAGCGGTAACTGGATGACCCGCTCTACCTCCTGAGCCATGGCCGCCCCAGATGGAGCGTTTGTGAATAGCAGAGTTCAGCTCTTTTCACATATTCTCAATTGGATTCAGGTCTAAGACCTGGGTATGTTTAGTTTTGAACGCTTCTACTGGAGATTTTTCTTCATGGCCCTGTAGTTGGCTCCATGTATCTCCCGATCAATTTTAACGATCTTCAATGTCCCCGCTGAAGAAGCTACGGACTACCAAGATTGATCGTGCGGATGGTGTGTTCAGGGTGATGTACAGTGTTACTTTTACACCAAACATAACGTTTTGGATTTCGTCCAAAAAGTCTCATTTTGTCAAGTCTCAATTTTGGTCTCATCTGACTACAGCACCTTCTACGCTTGGTGTGTCGAGCAGGTGGCTTGTGGCAAACTTCAAACAGGAATTTCAATGGTTTTCTTTGTTAAATAACTTTCTTCTTGCCACTCAAATAAAGGCCAAATTTGTGCAGTGTGCGACGAACATTTGTCCTGTGGACAGATTGCCCCACCTCAGCTTAACCAGAGTAATAATGGGCATCTTGGCTGCTTTAAACTTTTGCACACCTTTATTCCGGATATGCCTGGTGTGTTGCTTGGTCATCACGATGCGGTTTGCTCCGCAATATTCTTTGAACACACCTCTGAGACCCTCACAAAGCAAGTGCATTTCCAAAGTATCCCGAGACTAGATTACAGACAGGGGAACACTAGCATCATCAGTCACTTCGTTCAACATTGGATCATTTAGAATCATCACGAAACTTCTGGAGTCAGTTGTTTACACTGAGACAAAAGCGGGATGAAGAATTTCACATGCCCCACTTTTCAGTTATTTGTTGAAAAAGGGGGAAGGGGGCGGGGAACAATAATTTCACAAGGCACTGGACAAGACATGCAAGTGTCTGTTTTTTCTCAAGAACATCCTTATGAGGAACACAGGACACTGTGTACCTGGGGCTGTGCAGGTGATGGAGCATCTGGCTGCTGCACGAGAAGCTGGCTCTGTTCCGCTCTCTGAGGTACCGTAGGACTGTTGCCCATGGCCATCATGCCAATGCTGTGTCCTGATGGGCTCTGTTGGGACAGCGCTGCCTTCAGACGCTATGGAAAAATGCATCAATCAGTAGGGAGACTTTGATAGCAAGTGGGGCAGCGGAGATAAATGACGCTTGGTAAGTCGGGCCCCTATTGCCGCTGCAAGAGTTGCAAGAAAGAATGCGTGCCCGAGCCCCTACCCCCAACAGCAGCGGGAACACTCTTTCAATGGGCCACAATTTTTTTTTCTTCACATCTGTTTTTAAGTCCGGACCATTGTTTTTCAAACGTCTCATACTGTCCTCCCCATCGAACCCACGCATTCCCCGCAACAGTGATCTATTGCCACTTGCTGCATTTTCTTTTGGTTGTTGTGATGCTGCCGAGGCCACTATACAATATGCCTTCCTCGCCGCCACCTCAGTTTCAGTGTTTGAGAAATGGTGTTTCTTCTTTTTCATTTCATTTGTCGTCCTGATTCCCACTTCACATAGAATTGACCACCGTGGGTCATTGGGAGTTGTGCGGACGCTGAGATACGGGAATGATCGTCGGATGCAATTTTGTTAGAAGACTGCCCTGGGTACCCAACAGGTGTGCGTATGTACTGGACTGTCCTGGCTCCATTCCTGTTTACTCTCTCTACACCTCGGACTTAAGCTACGTCACTCCAACCTGCCACCTTCAGAAGTTCTCTGATGAGTCCGCGATCGTCGGCCTCATTACGGACGGAGATGATTGGGAGACAGGGGACTGACGGAGGACTTCGTGGACTGGTGCCTGCAGAACCACCTCCAGATCAACCCCAGGAAAACTAAGGAGTTGGTTGTGGATTTCTGCAGGAAACTGTCTTCACCTGCACCGATGAACATCCAGGGTACGGACATAGAGAGGGTGACCTCCTAAAAGTACCTGGGTGTTCTTCTCAACAATAAACTAGACTGGTCTACCAACACGGACGCTCTGATCTACTCAGAAAACTGAGGTCTTTTGGAGTTCAGGGATCACACCTAAAGACCTTCCTTCTATGTGGTGGCCTCAGCCATTCCTGATGGCATCGTGTGCTGGTCAGGCAGCATCTCAGCCCGGGACAGAGAGAGACTGGACCGACTGGTTAGGAGGGCCAGCTCTATCCTGGGCTGCTCCCTGGACACTCTGGACAGGGTTCCCACTCTTCCACTTGCTTTTTATTTATGGACCTTTTAATGACTTTTGAGGACCAATTTAGCCATTTTTATGGACCTTTTCTCCATTCAGCGGGGGATTCACAGTGGATTTAATGCCCGCTCAGCAATACACAGGCTGAACAGAAAGCCACATTTCACTGAGCTGGTGTTCAAATCATTGCTGCCAAAGGAAGGGCACATCTTTATTTTTAGGGGAAATCACTTAACCCTTTATTTGACATACTGTATGTCAAATTTTCACTTTGCTACCTGTATCACAGGTAGCAAAATGAAAAAAAACTTGAATTAATTCTCAAATAAAGCACACAAAGAAAATTTTAAGTTTAGAAAATATAAAACTTCAATTTATTTTCGAATAAACACAACACTAAGAACAGAGCTAATGGTCATATGGGTCACCTGTACAGGGTTTAGAAAAATCTGGCTTTGCATTATCCAGTATACCTGAACAGCTGAAATGCATGTCAGAAGTATAAATCCCAAATGGTACAACCCTATTATTTTTCCTCACACCACCTTCAATGATCAGACATGTTTTCTAATGACAAATATGAAACTGATATGACAATTAGGGAATCGCAGACAGTGACTTAGTTTTCTCCTCAATCTCTTTTGCAAGTTCTTGGAGATCAATTTTCTTCTGTTTTGCTGTGTGCCTCAATACATTTGATTTGCCCAGGAGGCTATGACAAGTTTTACCTCTCACGGAGATGCCCTTCTTGCACATTCGGCAGTAGGCCGACGTATTATCGCCAGCAATTTTTCCGACCCAATCACGGGACCTAATCACGGAACTCCGGCTTGTCCAGCCACGCCATTTGAAAATAGCATTGTCCCGGAATATTTGTTGCGTAATTGTTTGCAGAGCCGGCAACCAAACCATCCATTCACTGCCCCAGCATGGCGTCGATCTATTGTTGTTAACCGAAATGACCCGAAGTTATCACGTGAACATCGTCGGAACTAATCGGCGACGGCGGGAAAAGCAGAGCGGGTACCAGGCCCTGCATTTTCCGACAAAACTATGAATTGAAAGGGTGGGGAAAATGACATACACAAATGAAATGAACACCACAGGTTCATTTTTATGGATTTTATTGATTTTAGAAGCTTTCCCTGAAATTTTATGACAATTAAAAACATAATTTTACAACTTCAATTTGTATGGATTTTTATGAACTTTAAGAACCCGTTCGAAACCTGCTGGAGGAGGTGGGCAACAGGAGGATGCTAGACAAGCTAAAAGCTATGATGGACAGACCCTCCCATGCCCTCCAGGGCACCGTGACAACAGCACTGGGCAGCTCCTTCAGCCAGAGACTGATACACCCGCGCTGCAAGAAGGAGAGATACCGCCCTTCGTTACTGCCAACTGCTGTCAGTCTATTGAATAGACAGACCTGAAAACCTGGACTCACCCACACTCACCCATTTTTAATATGCTTATGCTATATTTTATATTTATTTATAAACTTTTTGTTGTTATATAATATATACAAACCTGTATCTACATATATATCAGAGGCGATTGCTCTAAGACTGCAAGGGAAGCTCAGCTTCCCCTAAAATGTCAAAAAATAAGTGATCAAATATATGTGTGTCCATACAATTGTGCGTACAGTATATGTCAATGACTAAATATGCGCTACAACACGTTCAACTTTTGTTCCGAATCAGCTTCTTATTACTGGACTCTCTTCTCATTCATTCCCGCAGCTTCACTGTGCTTTAAACTGTGTGGACGCTGAGTGTCGACCGCGCGGACGCTGGGCGTCTATAGAGTTCAGTGTAGGTTGTCCCAATGCATTGAAACGAGACGAGTCATTGGATAAATGCTGGTTTTGTCCCGCCCATTGGACGCTCGGCGTCTCTGGGTGTCTATGGACAGTGGGCGTTTATGCGCTCGCCTGGACGCTCAGCTTTTCTGCATGATGATTGAATGATCTGTCTGAGGCTGAATCTCTTTTTGATTGACAGCAATATGAGCCAATCACTGATCTTTTGGTGTAGGCATCCATGGGAGCATTTTTCAATTCTCATTCTGTTCTGAGTTGAGCTGGAGACTTCTAATCATTTTAGCGACACTCTTTTTGTTAAAAACGACAAGCGACAGATGAATCGTTTATTTCTGGTGTGTTTTATTGTCGTTGCTTGTGTTCGCAGACTGACTTATATCACCCCAGTTAAGACCCTGGAAAAGAGGCCTTGTTGGTATGACAGGGTCACAGATCATTTTCTTGAAAAGGAACGGAGAGTAGAATTCACGTACAAATAAATAAACGGACACATTTTATGATGTAGCCCGAAATTGAGGCTTCCCCTCCTTGACAGACCAGCATCCTATCTATCTATCTATCTATCTATCTATCTATCTATCTATCTATCTAGCTAGCTAGCTAGCTAGCTAGCTAAACATACAATCAGATTTCGGGAATTTCTCCATTGTGAGACAAATAAAGTTTTCTTGTCTTATATATGATCTACTCTGATTACTTTGATTTGTTGCACACCAAGACTCCTGTGCAGTGTTTGACAAGTGACTTCAATACATAAAACACCACACTGAACTGCCAAAAGATTGCTTGTGACAGTGCAGCTGCCACCTATTATGAATAATACCGTATTTTCCGGACTATTAAGTCAGTTTTTTTTTTTTTGGTTTTGCCGGGGGTGCGACTCTGGAGCGATTTCTGGGTGAAATTATTAACACATTATTCTATCATTTCACATGTTATTTTCACATTAAACCACAAGAGGCCACTCTAGACCTGTGTTCATAAAACCACGATGAGTCTGATATGAGCGATGTAGAAGAGGAAGCCCTGTATCTTCTACCTCCGGAGTTGGTGGAGTTGCTTTAAAGTGACACAGAGGATGAAGATTCCATTGGATTGAGTGATTTGGAGTGACATTGATGGTTTGGTGAACTTGTTAGCATGTTCTTTATGCTATAGTTATCTGAATAACTCTTAATATGTTTCTTGAACATACCAAGGCACGTTCTCAGTTCGTCGTTTATGCGTCATGTAACGTGAGCATATTGTACACTTATTCAGCCTGTTGTTTTCTATTTTTTTTTTTTTAAATTGCCTTTCAAGATGACATATCTGTTCTTGGGGTTGGATTTTATCACATTGCGACCAGTGCGACTTATGTATGTTTTTTTGTTCTTCATTTTGCATTTTATGGCTGGTGCCACTTATACTCAGGAGCGACTTATAGTCCGGAAAATACGGTAGTTATGTATTATGAGGAAAGGGAGTCCTGCACTCGGCTAATTGCTGATGTGTTGTAGACTGCTCTTTGATCCACAAAGTTGTCAACAGTTTGGCTCCATTTTACATTCATTTGTGCTTTATTCACAAATGACTCCCTAGTCTCCTACTGACTTACCTTCTTTTGACCCATAAGAGAAGAGGTGGATGTCATGTTTTTTTTTTCTGTGGCGCGTTTCAAGTTCTTGCATGAATGAAAATTTGTCGGTGTGTGTGCAGATTTTATCGTCAAAATAAAATCAGTTACGATGCTTTAGGTGCATGTATGTAATCCTTTTTTTTTGTTGACATTTCTTTTAGCAATATGGTGCCAACACCGATAACCGTGATCATTTTGGTTAGTACAAACATTGTTTTAAATTTCCCTACCATTGCTTCCCTATTGCGCATATTAATTTAGTGAATTTGTGTCTCAAGGCTTAAGTGCAATAATAAAAAGTCATATGACTAAGAAACTTAGTCAAAGGGAAGGCAGTGGCTGGCTGCAGGGTGAAGATGTAGACAAAAACAGCGGAGAGATAAAAACGTTAAAAATAGAGAGCTAATCAAGTGCTTACCATCTTGGCTTCGGAGTGGATACTGTAGCCAGAAGGAGAGTTTGAACCGCTGCTGCTGCTTCCCAGAGGAGGCCCAGGGATCCCGGGAATGTTTGGTACCATGCACATGGGTCGGGCCAGCTTGGAAGCAGATAAAATGCACCATATGCTGCAGTGACTGACATTTTTCATCCCCTCAAATTTTTTTTGCAGGTCTTACATTGATGACAGATGGCATCTGAACAGGCCCTGGGAGGACAGGCACAGCCTGGCCGGAGGGGAGCATCATCATGGGGTAGTGGCTTGTTGGTGAACTAGACAGAAATTAGAGGAGTTTGCATAGGTGACAAAGATCCAAATGCGCGTCGACCTCACAGTGCAGAGGTACCGGTTTCGATCCAAGTTCCGGCCTTCCTGTGTGGAGTTTGCATGTTCTCCACGTGCCTCTGTGGGTTTTCTCCGGGTACTCCGGTTTCCTCCCACATTCCAAAAACATGCATGGCAGGCTCATTGAACACTCTAAATTGTCCCTTGGTGTGAGTGTGGGTGTGGATGGTTGTTTGTCTCTGTGTGGCCTGCGACTGGCTGGCAACCGATTCAGGGTGTCCCCCGCCTACTGCCCGAAGACAGCTGGGATAGGCTCCAGCACCCACCGCGACCCTAGTGACGATGAAGTGGTTCGGAAAATGAATGAATGAGTGTGTGTGTGTGTGTGTGTGTGTGCGCGCGCGCGCATGCAAAGACTTGGAAGCATTGCTTTTCAAATGTATTTCAGTCGAGTTACTAGTTACTTTAAAAAAAAAAAAAAGTTGTCACATAATCCAAGTACCACCCTATTAAAGTAATGTAATTTGGATACTTTTAATTAACTTTTGGATTATCTCAAGAACAAATATGCTAAGGAAAATAAAAATAAATACTGCCCCAATATATTTTTGTATACAGTGGAGCCCACTCTTTGCAGGTCATACAGACCGTGCCGGCGAAAATCCATAGATTCGACAAATACCATAATTTTGGGCTATAGAGCACACCTGATTATAAGATGCACCCATTACATTTTAAAAGGAAAAAAAACATGTTGTACACACACAAGCCACACCTGTCTATAAACCGCAGGTGCCCATATTGTAACATGAGTTTTTTTGCAAAGAAAGACGGTACACAGAAAGAGGTTTCAACGTTTAATCACATACCTTAACTTTTCTTGACAAATAGTAACGCGGCAGCATGACAGCAGTAAAACAGCACTCACACAGCTGGTTTAAAAAAAGAACCATCGCATCAGGAGCTGAATTAAATGTGAATATATACAAGTCTAACACTTGTGAATATATTTCTGTTCCACAAAAAGACAATGTTGAATTTGTTTGGCTCTACATTGACATGTCTCATATGCATACATGGCAATGGCGAGTGATGAAAAAAGCGGAAGGGGCGTGGCCTGGACGGGGGGCGTGGCCTGGACGGGGGCGTGGTTACTTACAAAAGTGGCACTAAACATGCTGAAGATGAAGTGTATTAAATTTACACAGTTTGAAAATTGAACAGAAAAAAATCCCAAGATCGCCACTATTCTTTCAAGTGAAAATTTGTGCAATTTTGCCTATGCATTCCTGGTGAGCACCAATATGTAACTCCAAATTTGCTGCTCAAAATCAAAAC